ACGCGTACGTATTGCGAAGATATGTCGACAGACCTGAAGGGCTCTCTTTCCTTCCCATATCTAAATGCCGAGACCATATGAAAATAAGATATATGGGTGTTATATGGTCACAAGATGGTGGTAAGTGGCGGATATTTGTAAATTATGCAACCGGAAATGATTTTTATTTTTTTAAAGGAAAACGAAGAGGAACAAGAGATAAAGGTTGAAATTATGGTTTATGGAAAAATAGGAAAAAAAAAAGCTTTGGGTAGGAATAAAACGAAGAAACGGTAGGAACTGATTCGAAAAGAATCCTTATAAATCAGACGAGATAAATAGACTTTAAATCGGCTCTTGGAAACTATTTCAGAAATTTGTAACTTGATTTATCTCGAAAAAGTCTCAGCGCTTCAGATCGCCATGATAGAATATTTGGTTGATAAGAGAGACTGCAATAAACTTATTTCTTTACATTTTTGTTTTGTTCTCTTTTTTTTTTTTTTTACTAATCAAACATCTCTCTTTTTTCCATACCGTCAGGCCCTACAGACATATTTCCACATAGAAATTATCTCTCTATGTATTTAACTAAATTTAACAATTTCTTTAAGTTGAATGACATTCTTCTTTCTATAACTTTTCGTGGGTTTCCTCTACATCACTTGCTTAATATTAACGTATAAATATTTGCATTCCCTTTTATTCTTTTTATCTGCTGTCATCAACAATCATTCTATCTTCTTTCTTTTTCTTTCATCTCTGTTTAAATGTCTGTCTTTTTTCTTGTCGGTTGATAATATAAAGGCCATCGGCGCAGAAAATGAAATGAAATTAAAAACCCTAAGTTCAAATTCAGGCTCTTCCCCCCACCCTTAAGTAGCATGTTAGACTTGTGTAGTAGGTAATCTAGAAGAAGCGCTACACTGAATTCGAAACAATGGCAAAAAAGGCCACGAGAAACCACTCTCGGATCTTTCCCAAGTAGACGCAGGAAATTCAGAGATAATAAAGAAAAATGAATCAGTGACGGGACATGACGGTTACATGCTGAAGATTTGGTTTGGTTTAATTTGATTTGGTTTGGTTTGGTTTGGTTTGGTTTGTTTTGCCTCATGTCAGCCTCAATGGGTTATTTAATTCCGACAAGATTTTTATTGCTGGTAATATTATTTACAAAACTGGTAATATTTTTGCTTCAAAAATGTATTCTGATAATATTTTTGCCTCAAAAATGTATTACCGGTAATATTTTTTTCCTCAAAAATGTATTGCTGGTAATATTTATTTTCTTCAAAAATGCATGTCTGGTAATAATGTATTGCTGGTAATAATTTTTCCCCAAAAAATTTATTGCTGGTATTAAAAACTATTTTTACACATTCAGTGTTTTGACCCCAGATTAAGTGTTAACTATTCGCCCACAGTTGTAACCCTAAAATGTGCTACTGCCCGGGGTCAGGATGGGCTTGAAGCACCATTTCCACGCTCCTCAAAACCTCCTAAACACAGGCCTTCCTTCCATACACAGGATACGGATGTAGTTTCTCGCCATACCCAGGACGCCGTGCTGAAAAGATATGGCATTTAAAAAACATCCAGGATATTTTATTTGGAAAAATCGTCGCTCTCTTCATTAAATCTTTTTTTTTTTTTTCATTTTCAATTTTAGTATCGCTAGCTACACGATTCCAATTATTACTACCAGGTTGGCAAACTAATCCCTGTTTCAGACGCCTACACAGGCATATTTATATTTGTTCGACACCCGCAGAGATAACCTGTGGTTTCTTCTACACGTTTAACCTGGCGTGAACAATCCCAGTACGCTGAAAACCTCGATCACAATCATCACAACCTTTAGAATAGCTTTGTCTACTTAATATCATTTCCAAGATTCAGCTCAGTTTGTGGCATGGTTTTCAGGAGCACCCCAACGTTGTCTCAAGATGGAAACGTTTCCATATATTATAATATACAGGGTGCGGCTGGTATTTGAGGACATACAGATTTAAGATTAATACTGCTTCCTACTAACTTCTAAAGCTTTTATTTTTCAGAAATCAAGAATAGCAAACCCTATGATAACAAATGAAATGAAAAGGCATGCCGTGATTGTGGCATTAAAGGCTGATCATAGCGATTTGGATATTGCACGTTTCCTCAGAGTTACAAGATCGTTTGTCCTCAAGATACGAAAAGAGTCAGAAGCATATATATATATATATATATATATATATATATATATATAAATCTTGAAAGGTATTACTTTGCAAATTCAAGCTTTATTCCAGTTTATAGAGAAAAAAAGAAATCGACTATTAGTATTCATTTGTATAACAAGTGAAAGTAACAATCTGGATATACTAAAGAAAAATCAAAGTGCTTCCTTTAAATAAAAAGGTAAAAGTTCTCAATAAGAAAAACATTCATATGGTGAAATTGCTAGTTAGTTTTATATATATATATATATATATATATATATATATATATATATAAGCACATATACAGATAAGCAAATACATATATAAATGCAGACGCACACAGATAAACATCGAAAAATTTATATTTGTGAAATATTGCAATTTTTCGTTTATACAAGTTTAGTTAAAGACATATTAAAGTTTATTGTAAATTATTTTTCTTTATTGTATATTTCCAACCATTTTGTTGGTTTTCGATGTCTGAGGGCTTTCAGCCATTATCAAAGAATGTTCTTTGTTTTTTTGTGGTATGTCGCCGTCTTCGATTTTCAATTATAGTGCCTTTACGAGTGATATGTATTTTTAAAGCGTCGCCTCTTAATCCCATTTATATTAGCAAACACATAAAAGTACATCATCATCTTTTATTCAGTTAGCGCCTTTTGCGCCGCTGTAGTCACCGTTCCCCTCCATCTCAAAATTGTGGTTCATGGTGACATTCAAGCTAGAATATTGCAATGCCTTGCCGGTTGCTTTTGCACCGGGGATATTAAGGTTACCACGTCTCTCTTCTCAGAGGTTAAAGAGGCAAGACCTAAAAGGCAGAAGGTGGTTTGATTTCAGTTTTCTTTCTTCTACGCTGGTTTCCAAACAAGGCTACAGGACCGAGTCTGTCCTGCTATTCGCCCGTAGCTGGTGGGGGTGGGAGAGATGGATTTATATCTTTTCCAACTAGACATGGTTCTCCGATCCTCAGTCTGATCCGCTATTCATTACTCTACCGTTCATATACTTAAACATATATATATATATATATATATATATATATATATATATATATATATATATATATATATTTATATTGGATTGATGTGATTTGTGACCCTGGGTTTCACGCTTTTGCGATCGTCAGACAAACAATTAATTTTTATAAATTTGGATTTAGAAAAATTAATCAGTTTGTCTGACGATCGCAAAAGCGTGAAACGCAGGGTCACAAACTCACATCAATCTAACCAAATATGTTAGCTATATCTCTGATATTGAGCGCTTTCTAATAAGTACTGCGCATATAATATATAAATAATTATATATATATATCTATTTATATTTATATACACACATTTTTCACACACACACACACACACATACACACACACACACACACACACACACACACACATATATATATATATATATATATATATATATATATATCCACAGAGAGGCTGTTTCGCTGTTTCACAGCTCTTTAATGAGGCTAAACGTCTGATTGCTTCAAGCCGGTATCGGCCGATTTGGCATCAGTCAGAGATCCTACCCCTAAGCCGTCGGCGCACGTCAGAGGGAAAGGGAAATTTTAGCGTTTTCTATACGAAATATGCCAATGGCTGAAAGAATTTAATTTATACTTGAAGTGTAATGCATTCATAGCAGCAGCAGCAGCAGCCACTGCTTTTATTAAATTTACTCTTTTCTCTAGAGAGCTCTCCCGAAGGGTCTCCGAGAGAATATATATAGTCATCCACAGGCAGACTGCTTCAAGCCAGGATCGAAACTCGACCGATTTGACACCAGTCAGCGCATATATATATATATATATATATATATATATATATATATATATATATATATATATATATATATATATATATATATAGACTATACGAGGATGCTCCAAAAAGTAATGACTCCTATATATTTCATCAGAAACTAAAGAAAAAAAATCTATAGGGAACACTATAAAAAAGTTGAATAGCACATATACTGAACAAGAAAGCGATCACATGAAGAAGTCATTTTTTCTAATGGTGAGATTCGATCCCTAGACTCGTTGGTTGAAAGCGTACCTCCTAAATATTCACGCATGCGCCCATAATTTATACTATAAAATTAGATTATCTGCATTGTATATAATGCATATATTTGAATTTTTCTTGCTAATGTTTTACAAGATATTCGTTTTCTCGTTTTTTGATTTTTAAGTAAAGCAGTAAAATAGATTGTTTTCGTGTCTGCTTTTTGAGATAAGCACTGATTTTTATTTCGTAATTTATGTTGGTCTCGTAAGGTGATTATATCTTGTAAAATAACACCAAGAAAATGTAAATATATACACCTATGTACAAAGCAGATAATGTAGTATACATTAAAAACGCTAAAACTTTAAACTAAATTAAAAAACAATATACTCCCCACCCAATAAATAAATAAAATACTTTTTAAAAATTATTATGGAAATAAATAATAAACAATTTAGCAAACAGTATGAATGCACACATAGCAACAACTATGTAAATTTTATAACAATAATCAGTAAAGAATAATTAATCAAGAGATAAAAATACACTACCTTTTGCTGATTGTTTTTTACGGTTTATCAACAGGTTATTTAAAACCCGAAAATATTTTTCAATTGTACGGAGTTTTGCAGGACTGGTAATAATGATTTAGTGATACAAGTCTTACTAATTAATCCATAACTCGGGGGAGAAGAGGTGGATTAATTTTACAGGCGCTTAGGTGAATATAAAGGACTCAACGAGAATTGAATCTCTACTCTTCGATCGGCAAATCCGAGCCATTAACCATTACACTAGCGGCATCTCGTATTTGCGAATGGTCACCCATCTAGATACTAACCAGGCTCGATGTTGCTTAACTTCGGAGATAGTACGGGAACCGATGTTTCACAGATATGTGGCCGTAAATATAATCAACAATGAATAAATATTGCGTTAAAAGTTAACAAACCACTTCAATAACCACAAAATATAGCATAACTTAAAATTATATTTATACTATATATATATATATATGTATATGTGTGTGTGTGTGTGAGTGAGATGTGTATGTATATAAATATATACATATATATGCAGTTTTATATATATATATATATATATATATATATATATATATATATATATATATATATATATATATATATGGTAGATATTGGAAAGCGGTCAATATCAATGATAGAGCTAACATATTTACTTGTATTTATGTGAGTTTGACAAACTCACATCACTCCAACTATATATATATATATTTATTGATGCATGTTTCATTAAATAATATAGAAAAGTGTTGTTTATTTATTTTATGTAAATTCTTTTCATATCGTCTGATAAGCTAAATAATATTATCATTAAACGAAAAAAATCACAATATTGATACATATTTTTTAATCCTATCTAAGCTTTCGACTTACAGAAGCCATTATTAAAGATAACAATTACATTACAATATATTAAGCAATACACGGACAAAACAGTGATGATAGACTGTTTCTGTTTATATGGAAGATTTCCAGGAAACGACAAACTCGTGCATATAAGACGCTGGAAGCGAAAATCGCACCGCTGCTCATGACGTCACACATGACCACGCGAGAGAGAAAACAAGAAGTATTAAGTATAGGAAGCCGTTGGTATAAAGCAATGGCTTCTGTTACCAATTTTAGGCATTTAAGAATAACAATGTTTTGGTATAGAGTCTCAATTTCTATTTTTTTAAAAACTCAATTATACTTACGGTATATATGACACTTAGGTCCAAGATTAAGTAATTCTTTTTGCTGCTTAGTTAGTTCATAGTTGGAAAGGTTAACGAATTTATCAGTTTTGTTAGGAAGAGTGATAGTACCTTTGTATAATGTATTCATTTTTTTATAAATATATACTTTAAAAATCAGGAGGTCAGATGAGTCCGCTACCTTGGTTTCAACCTTACGGCATCTTCAGGCGATTTTTATCAAATGACCTCTTAACGCTTTATTTTTTTAAAACTATAAAATGAACGCTATATTATTATTTAGAAAAATAATAACGCCGAAGCTCGAGATGTTGCTCTAGATATAACGAATGCGTTTGACAGGGTTTGGCATGCTGGCCTTCTACGTAAGTTTCATAGATACTATACTACAGGACAATTATTTGATTTAATCCAAGCGTGCATATCTAACCCTGAAATGAAGGTTGTCCAGAACGGGTTTACTTCCAGTTCCTTCCCTACGAACGCTGGTGTTCCTCAAGGCTCTATCGTAGGTCCTACACTGTTTGTGATTTTCATCAATGATCTTCCGGACGTCATCAATTCTCAAGTAGGCATCTACTCAGACAACATTACTACTTATTCCTTTCTCAACTCAACACTTGACAGATTTGGAGTGCCTAGACTTTACTTCCCCCGAGAACCAAAATTACATGCACATGCTCCAAGTTAGTGGGAAGGCCAAGACCGACTTTGCATTTCCCAACTCCCATCGATAGTGGAAATAATCGATTTTTTCATGCTTCTACGCCAGTTTTCATGTAGTTTGCGGCCATTTTCTACTGGCCAAAGTGAGAGCCTATAGCTGACTGCCACGAATAGGCAGGAAGATTCTATTGGTCAGAGTGAGAGCCAACAGCTGACTGACATGAATGTTAACTAGCATGCCAGCATGCCAAAAAAATCGATAGCTGCATTCGTCAGAAATGGGAAAAATTTAAATCTGCATGGCACTTTACTCCAATTGGTTCATTCGCTTGCTCAACGTTGATCCTGATCCTGCAGAACTGGGTTGGATGTGAAAAAAGTATTTGTTGTTAACATTCTTTTTTCATTCGGTTATTCCATTTACGAGTCCTTTTTTTTAAAGCTGGTCGTTTTGTGTTCATTTTTTTTAGTTCTTTTCTCGTAACAGATTTAATGTTTAGTATAGAGCTTAGAAAAAATTCGCAGTGTGAGATAGGCAAGAAGTAAGGCATGTAGCAGCATCAGCACAGCAAAGGGCACTCCTTTAAAGGCAAGGAAGAGCAAAAATATTTTAAGTCAAGTGATAGCGATTGCTGTATGAGTCGTACGATTTTCGAATCAAGCACGGACAACGCCGGGCCATGCTGCTAGTACATGACTAAATATGCACAGAAAACAAAAATCTTTGATTTAATAGAAATATATTCCAATTATCCATTTTAATGGGGGAAAATATTCATACAATACAAAACAGAATACATAATCTTCATTGAATACTTTGTAGAATGACTATTATTCTCTTCGACAGCAACCAACCTCTTCTTGTAGTTCTCAATTAATGATTTACAAATTTTAGTTGGTATTTTGTTCCATTCTTCTTCGCATATGATCTTTAGATCTGAGATGTTGGAGCTCTTGATTGGATTTGAATTTTCAAATAACGCTAAATTCTCCATTGGGTTTATCTCTGCGGACTGACTTGACTATTTCAAGATATTTACATTATTTTCAGAAAGCCATTTCTTCGTAGATTTTGCAGTGTGCGAAATTATCTGATTTAAAATTAAATGATCTGATTTAAAATTAAATGATCATTATCTTGTTAGAAGATCCAATCAGGAAGAAATTCAAGATTTTCAACCAAAATCATTAAATTTGCTTCCAATCTATTTTGATATGCTGCAGCATATATTACTGATATGTTGCTATTATCTTTTACAAAAAAAAGAAAGAAACACCCCTAAGCCATGATGCTGCCACCACCAAATTTTGCTGCTTGAACTGTGTTCTTTTCTTTGAAGCATTGTCATCTTCTTCATGATGTCTAGAATTACGTCCAAACAACTTCATTTTGGTTTCGTCTGTCCATAATACTCTTTTCCAATACGATGTTTCCTTATGCTTCTGTTCACGTACGAATTTCAACTTGGCATCTCTCTGTCTTTCCAATAGCAGTGATGTTTTCCGAGGGTGCCTGACTTTAGATTGTTGCAATGAATTTCATTGCTTATTGTCCGTTTAGTGACACAGATTCCTGATGAAAGCAAATCATCCTGCAACTCTTGACAAGTAACGATAGAATTTTGTTTAATCTGACGCATTAATTTCCTCGAAGATCTTGAAGAAATCTTCTATGGAGCACCTGTTCTTTGGTTTTCAACAGATTTGAGATTTTTATACCTTCCATTGAATGAACTAATGGTGGTAAATGGAATATTAAGTTTCTTTGAGATTTTCCTGTAACTTTTACCTTCTTTCCAGAGCTTAACAATCAGTTGTTTTTGCGAATCTGTCAATTCTTTACCTCTTGCCACGATGATAAACTTCTTGCACGAATATCAATTACAGAATGTTCTGTTTGTACTTTTTAGGCTGAATATCACAACTGATAGCATTACTAGAACATTCTAGAATATTCCACTTGAATAATCTAGAGTATTGAAGCAATTTAAAAATTTTGAAATCTGCAATTTACATTTTTACGAATACTTTTTCACCAATTAAAATGGATAAATGGGATTTATTTCTATTAAATCATTTTTTTTTCGGTTTTCTATGCATATTTAGTTATACATCTATATACATTTAATTATATGAAAAGTATGTTTATTCATTAGTTGGAAATACAATAAATTAAATAATTGTGTGTATGAATACACCCCCCACTGTATATATCAAGCTGTCGATAATAATGGCGATGCTCGGGTTGTGGCTCAACATATCTCGAAGGCGTTTGACAATGTTTGGCATGCTGGTATTCTACGTAAGCTTCAGGACGGTTTACTTGATTTAATCCAATCATTCCTATCAAATAGGGAAATGTTGGTTGTCCTTTCATACTAACGTGGGTCTCCCCAAGACTCCATTCTGGGTCCTTCACTATTTCTGATGCCATCAATTCTCAAATAGGCATCGATGCAGACAACACTAACATTTACTCATGTCTCGATAGAAAGACCGGCAGCGCTGACAAAGTGAGCCTGGCCGCTGCTCACGAAAAGGACCCCTAATCTGTGATTGACTGGGACAGGAAATGGCTTGCAAATTTTAATATCACCAAAACTAAACCGCTCTCATTTAACCATCATCGAGAAACGTTTCTGCCTCCCCCATCCTTAACCAGGATGGTTGATGCTCGTCTCCGTGAGAGCGGCTCACTGCTCCTTCTTGGTCTCAAGTTTTCAACTGACTTGAAGTGGAACGTCTACATTGAATCTATAGTTACATCTACTGTAAGGAAATTTGGTTCACTGTGTCGTGCCAGAAGATATTTCTCGTCAGTCCAATCTACAAATCGTCTTTGCATTGAATATTGTTGCCACATCTAGTCTGGTGCCCCTGCTTTTCATTTCGAAATTCTCGACAAGATCCAAAGAAGGAACTGTAATGTAATTAGTCCTGAATTGGCTTCTCGACTTTAGACACTTTCTCAAAGACGTAATGTGATTTTCCTCTGTCTTTTCTGCTAATGTTTCCATGGTTACTGCTCTGACATGCTTTTTATTTGGGTCCCCGACTACATGAATTTAAGTGGGACCTACATAGGCATCTAGGTCCCACCCATTTACTGTTGAATTAGTTAAATGTAACTGACACTTCTACTCTAAAAGTTTCTGTTCTCGCACTTCCCGACAGTGAAACTCTCTTCCGTTTACTTGCTTCCCTGATATCTACAATCTTCAAAACCTTAAATGCAGCCTCAATCGCTATCTACACCCACTCTTTTCTCTTGCTTTCACCCTCCGTAAGCCATTGCGTGCTAGTGGCATCCTACCTTGCTTGGAGTGAAATGCGTAATATATATATATATAAAACATTCTATAATACTAAATATATACTTAGATACATACATACATACATACAACAATCCATTTCCAGTTAACAGTAAATATATTGTATCCTTGAAAATGGCTAAATGTATAGCCGAAAGCGCTCAGAAAATCAAAACATTTGGACAGATTTGTATAATTTATCTACTGAAAAGAAAAACAATTATATGAGAAATTATATTAAAAAATTAATTAAATTACTATATATATATATATATATATATATATATAAAAAAGAATTTTGTTGTAATGTGGATTTTTTTTAAATATTATGCTTTATTTTCCACAATTTTCCTACAGGTGTTTCTGGTCTCGCGACCGTCATCAGGTAAAGGTGGACATTTCCACATATTATTAAAAATAATTAATTTTTTTTATTATGTTTTTCAATGTTAAATATTCTCGATATGAGACATTCTCTTTTTTGTGTTAGTGACCCAAATGTATTTCTTGAACTGGCAGTGAAAAGTTCTGCTTGAAGGGTTATAAAACAATTAAGATTGGTCCGAGAAATGGGGTTTGCCGCTGCATTATTTGCAAAATTTATAATCAAATACGAACCGAACACTTAACATTAAATAGATAGATAGATAGATAGATAGATAGATAGATAGATAGATACAAACATTGTGTAGATAGATAGATAGATAGATAGATAGGCTGACTGTGAAGATAGATTTGCAACGGGAAGAAAATAGATTGAATTATAAAATTCCTTGTTAACAACAATCATTAGAAACACATGGTCTGAAAGTGATATTTCCATAATACCAAACGATTTAAAGAAAGACAATGAAATCCAAAAATATTTGGAGTTTCCCGGGAAATTGGTTTGCAAATCAAAGGAAATAATTACTTTTGCGCAACCATTAGTAGCGGCATGTGCTAATAAATACGCGTAAATTGTTTTATATTGATCTTTTATGTGCCAACTGATTCGCTTGTGTCTGTGTGTGCGCTTTCTAACAGACAGTAGTATTTATGCATTCGTCCACAAGCACATTCCAAAAGAATTTCTCTATGCATATTTTATTAATGCAAATCTCACGAATTATTATACACTTTTTGAATTTAACGTATTTTATGAAAAAAAAAGAAAAGAAAGAAATAATTGCATATGGATGAAAATTTAAATATGTATCAAAGACAATTATTTACTGCTCATTCACGACAATTTTTTTACGACTAGCAATTTTTATTATTAGCTAGGCACGATGACAAAGGTGTTTTCGGACATACTTCTGTTAATAATGATAGGTCCACGTGTTTTTCTGTGAAATGAGATGTGAATTAATCCAATTACCGCAATGATTAAAAGAAGCTAATTTATTAACGGAAAGAAATATAATTACACTAGATTTAATTACAATTACGAGATATATGTTTCCCTCTCATTTTACGTATGCCTTTGTGCAAATTAATTGTAACAAAACCAATAATTACGTTATTATTTACTTTTTTCGTATTTTCCAATGAAACATGACCAGTACACATGTTAGTACTTCGTATGTCCATTCCACGAAGTCTTTTCTTGCAGATTGACCACAGAATCTCATTTGGATTTATACCAGGAGAGTTTCCAAAAATATCGATACTATTACTTTACTCACTGATAAGGCTGGCCAGTGTGTTCGTGCAGCGTTACAGTTTTCAAACGAGTTCTTGGAGTAACGCCCATCGCAGGCAATGACTGTAGGACAAATAATCGACAGTCGAGACAATAGTGTCTGGGCGTGATAAAAATCTGATGCAATCACAGATGAAATATTTTTCGAGACCAAACAAATTTTATCATACGCCCCGAAAATAGATAGTATTGCACAACACTGCAAATGCCATAATCTGTGAAAAAAAATAGAAATCGATTACAGCCTGTCACTCCAGTGGGTCTAACCGTATGATCAAAGAACGGAAACGAAAACGGTTGTTTGAATTAATTTCCACAGGGGTGTATGTATTATTTCGTTTGTTCGCTTTAAAGAATGCGTTGGGAATAAAATAAGCCTGATAAATAGTCTCGCCATTTTTGTAGAAAATAGTAAATAAAATTTGAGTTCGTAATAATAATAATAATAATAATAATAATTACTGTGTTCTTATCGCATATTGACGTATTCACTGGTGTATTCTTGAAGCATGATATCAACAAGACTGATTAGAAGTCAAAAATCTCGTAGAGTAAATGATAACAGCATTCTGGAAGTCTACTATCTTCGTCTCAATACTAAATCTCCCAAAGCGCTCTTTCAATTTTCTTAGCAATATTCCAAGCGCCCCCATAACTACAGGAATTAGTCCAAAAGTCGCGCCCTATAGACTTTTTAATTCCCTAGCTATTATTATTATTACTAGCAGCATGGCCCGGCGTTGCCCGTGCTTGATTCAAAAATCGTACGACTCATACAGCAATCACTCTCACTTGACTTTTTTTTTGCCTTTAAAGGAGTGTCCTTTTCCGTGCTGATGTTGCTACATGCCTTACTTCTTGCCTGTCTCACACTGCGAATTTTTTCTAAGCTCTATACTAAACATTAAATCTGTTACGAAAAAAGAGCTAAACAAAATGAACACAAAACGATCAGCTTTAGAAAAAGGACTCGTAACTGGAAAAACCGAATGAAAAAAAGAATGTTAACAACAAATATTCTTCACATCCAACCCAGTTCTGCAGAATCAGAATCAACGTTGAGTTTAAGCAAGCGAATGGTTTGTTATTAATTCTAGGTAACATAGTGTATATATTTTCTTTAAATTGATTATTCTCTTGAGTCAAAAAAAGCAGTTTCACACAGTACCGTTTCTTAATCTTTTGCTACTAGATTGGCAACTAGGTTTCATTCTTTCAGTGTGTAAGTAGATGCAACCCGATAAATCCGATTTTGTTTTCTCGTACCTATCGCCTGTGGAACTCTCTTCCGGTGTCTTTCTTCCCTGGCACCTACGATCTTTTGAAATATAAAGGTAGCATCAATTGCCACATTCTGTCTCTTTGAAACCTGGTATTTTATTGTCTTTTCTCTTATGTAAAGCTTTCTTTGACTCTCAGTAATACCCCGGATCTTAAAGAATTTATCATCTTGCTTTGGATGAAATGATTAAAAAAATATATCTATTAAACAGGAGCTGCTAGGAACTTTGTTAATGGTAATACCAAGCCGCAGCAGTGGTGAATCAAAACTTGGAGAGTTGAGTTAAAGGGGAATAACTGAGTCAACCGGGAGAGGCATGGCACGTGGAATTAGAAAAAAAATTATCATGGCGGACGAGATAAAAGGTTCGGTTCGAAATTCCAATCACCTGAAGAAGGCCGGAGCGTACAACGTCCGAAACTTTGTGAATATGGCAATGAAGATGAGGATAAACGTCCGAATAATGTAAATAATGCAAGTAATCATAATGCCTCTTCTCAGAGATATAGACAGATCTTAGCCGTTTCACTGAAGAAAAAATTTGGTATTCGTTTGCCGAGCAGCCAGTGCTACTGTCGGTTAAAATCTGTCTTTTCTGTCTCTTAAAACAATTTTTCAGTGAAACTGGTTTCTCAAGTCTATTAGCTGTTATTGCACTTTGCAGTATTGATTGGGCTTTCCTTACTAACCTTTTGTTTGAACTAGTGTGGAAAATCAACGTCAGTGTTTTCTCTTCGAGTTACATGAGATATTAATTTTAGTTTTTTTTTTCCTGCTGTTGAAAATCGTCAACTGATGTGGTTTCTGTTATGCTGTATTGTTTCAGTTTCTATATTTTGGTCTGTCCGATTTTCTTTTATCTGCCCACTGCTTCAGCAATTACACGTATAACTGTGGTTTTAACGTATCACCATTTTTGTTTTCAATTTCAAGCTTCGCTAAAGGCGCTGAAAAAAATACTTTTTCTTTCAGGATATTGCTCTTCACAGCTTCCTGTCTTTCGATGCTCTAAGTAACTCACGCATCTTTAGACACTCTCTTTGCCTGTGTACCCCCTGTTCTGTCAGTCATTCATTCAAACCCGTCAAATAGGTTACACAAATGTTTCCTTCTGTTAGACTTGCTTTCAATATGACCTTTGACTGTTAAATTCTCCGAGCCTTCTTTCTTCATTATGTTTTCCGGCTTACGTTTAAATCACGCTGAAAATAGTGGTTTTCGTTTAATCATCGAACGTAAAGCAATGTTGAACCGAGTCAGTAATTAGATGGGGAACTTCATTAAAACACCGTGTACTGTTAGTAACCTCTTACAATCCGATTTAGGTTTCGGATTAATCATTATGTTTTCAGAAATTTCAGTTGTTTGTTGTTTTATTGTTAGCAGAAGTTGCCTTATAGCTCGACTTTCCATTGACATTTCCTCGTTAATTAAATGCTCTCTCCATGATATTCCCAGCATTTATGTGTAGAATCAAATCACTTTTTGTTTCAAGTCTCCGACGAGAAAAGAGTATCGCATTCGCTGCCATATTAAAGATGAGATATTATATCGCAGTTCAATAGCCATCTTCTCTTTTTGCTTCATACTTTTCTTACTTGTCCTAGGTAAGACGATAAACTACACCCGCGTCCTGGTTAAGACGATAAACTACGTCCGCGTCCCAGGTAAGACGATAAATTATGTCCGCGTCCTAGGTAAGACGATAAACTACGTCCGCGTCCTGGGTAAGACGAAAATCTACATCTTCGTCCTGGGTAAGACGATAAACTACGTCCGCGTCCTGGGTAGGATGATAAACTATATCTTTGCTCTGGGTATGACGATAAACTACGTCCGCTATCTGGGTAAGACGATAGACTACGTCCGCGTCCTGGGTAGGACGATAAACTACATCTTTGCCCTGGGTATGACGATAAACTACGTCCGCGTTCTGGGTAAGACGATAAACTACATCTCACAGCAAGGCCTATGATCAGAAGGTTTTGAGGGGCGTGGAACCATCTCTTAATTCCAGGGGTTCCCAGGACCACTCTGACCCGGGGTAGTAGCACCTTTTAGGGTCTCAGCTATGAATATATAGCTACCCACCCCAAAGGGGTCAAAACTCTATTAAAATATAAAAATAGGTTTTAATACCAGCAATATTTTTTGGAAAATCTTTTACCAGCAATACATTTTTTTTAAAATATTATCAGCAATACATTTTTTGGAGATAAATATTACCAGCAATACATTTTGGGAAAAATGTTACCAGCAATACATTTTGGGGAAAAAATATTACCAGCAATACATTTTTTGGTGATATATATTACCAGTAATACATTTTGGGAAAAATGTTACCAGCAATACATTTTTGGAAAAAAATATTACCAGCAATACATTTTTGGACATAAATATTACCAGCAATACACTTTTGAGGAAAACAATATTGCCAGCAATAAAAATCTTGTTGACATTAAATAACCCAGTGAGATTGATATATCATAAAACAAAAACGAAACGAAACAATCTCTTTTCGCTTCGTACTTTGCTTAGTTTCTGACAGTCATCTTTTGCTACTTCTACGCGCACTTTCTATTTATCTGCCACTTTCTCCAACATCTCTTACTCCTATACCAATGTAGTAATCTCGGGGCAAAAGGAAAACAATGTCTTTTGAGAACAACTGTATATACAAATTATATATTAACGATATTCCTCGTTATTTCGTTAAGACACGCGGGCATAGCTTTACACGTAGACATATAGCCATATATTTGAATTTGTGTACATCTATAAGCAAGTGTATCATGCGCGTCCATGAGTGTACCTACAGAGATTGTCTTTATGGTGAGTCTTTTTCGATAAAAAAAAAAAAGACAAAGCGATTCAAATGGTTTGAATTCGCCGCCTGTGATGCACGTGTGCAATTTAATCAAGTTTTAATGACAGAAAGATATCAGACATCTCGCTTTCTTCATCATTTTTAGATTCAATTTCAAGGAAATAATAAGTACCATTATGGCAAGTAATTATCCTAAAACCATTCAGCATTTTTTAACTAAACTACGAAATAATACCTTTGTCTCAAAATAGTAGTAACATTACCATAGACATTTAGTCCACTAAAAGCAACAACTACTGGAGTACATTGATAGCACTATTATTATTATTATTATTATTATTATTATTATTATTATTATTATTATTATTATTTACTTTGATTTCTGGTATATACTCATTTCTTTCCGGATCCCAACCAGAGATTTAAGGTCAGAAATGGAATCCTGACTTTCTTCACTGAGCATTTAAAAAGAAACCTAATGTCTCACATATTTCACATAAAGCCTTTCGTAAGGTGTCAGCTGTTCTTGTGAGTATAATCTTTGTATTTATTTAAGGCTTCAGCTAACAGGGGTCTCTTCAGTGAGTCTATCGGGATCTTTTCCGATCAAACGGAGGGCTCGAACTACAATTGGATTGCTGATGTGCTCAAATTCCATATTTTTGAGATTTCGTTTTCAAAGTCCTTGTATTTCGATAGATTTTGAAGATGTTCAAAGAGACATTACAGTCTGCAGGAACTGCTATGTCAAAAAGAAGCCACATTTTTTTTACGATCCCTAATCACGATGCCTGGGCGATTAGCTTTCATTGTTCTGCCTCAGTGTATTGCAAAGTGCCATAAAATTGTTACAGGTTCTATCTCTGTAAGCGGGGCTGGGTGGTGTTCATACCAGTTTATTGCAGTTTTCTTCCAGAAAAAGTTGCATAATTGTCAATGCAGATATTGGTCCCTTCTGCCACCCCGAGTTTTATATTCAGTGGGTGCCAATATCATGAAACCTTATACAAGGCGGTCAATTGTTTCTGGATATTTAGCACAGAATCTGCATTTTGAGTTTTCAGTATTGAGAGTTTTCTGCATTTTAAGTTTTCATGTGCTTGGTAATTTCTAATTAATAAGTATTAGACCTGTGCAGCAAGAAAAAAAAAACTTTGGTATCACCTTTTAACCTTGCACTATGTAATCGCTGATAGGTAGTTGGGTTGTCTACAACAGTTTGTTTGGTACGGGCAGAATATTAGCCGGGAAGCGGTTTATCTTGCCTTCGTTTCTGCACCTGGTCCATTGCATTTGGCTTCGTTTTTGCAGTTGCAGTAGGTGCATTATGTTTTACTTGCATTTCTTCACCGACTTGAAACCCCATTTTGAAATTGGCGGCCTCCTTAATTACTAAATAAACTTTCTTATTTCTTTCGTTTTCTTCGACACAGATCATCATCCAGTCTCCTGTAGTTTCCAGGTATCTTTGAAGGCTGATTTTTGTAGTTGTGTAAAACAGTTCTTGTTGAAATAATCCTCTGACTCTTTCGGATCTGGGCACATAAAATCAACATCATTATTATTATTATTATTATTATTATTATTATTATTGTTATTATCATCATCACCATCATCATCATCATCATCATCATTATATTTCGATTTCTGCTATGCTCACACTACCTTCCAAATCTGCGGGAAGATCTAAGGCAGATAGCGGTGTATTGTTATGGCTACATTTCATGATTTTTTTTTTTAATTTTCATAACATCACTAGCACTACATGTACAAATTTCTTCTTAGTGTCTGGGGGCTGTGCGTGTCAAGACAAACTTTTGTATTTCTCTTAAGCTCGGGTTTCCATGGATTTTTTCAATGTGTTGCTGTGTTACTTTTTTTATCATGCCAAGCGCACCTACTATGACTAGTACTATTCTTGTTTTCAATTTCCACATTTTTTCGATTTCCAGGTCTTTATACTTCGATAGTTTTTCAAATTCCTTAGTTGCTATGTTATATTCCGCTGGGCAAACCATATCAATTAGTAGACAATTTTATTTCTTTTCTGTTTTTTGGAAATTATGTCTGGCCTATTTGCTTCAATCTTTCTGTCTGTAAAGATGGTGCATCCCATAGAATTGTTGTCTTCTATTTCGGTAACCTGTGTTGCTGTTATTATTATTATTATTATTATTATTATTATTATTATTATTATTTGTGTATGTTAAGTTTCCTGTATTGTATCCTGTAGAGCCAGGTCCAATCTATGGTCCTTAGGCCCTATAGGAGAACTGTCATTTAATTGATAGCCTATGTTCCTAGTAGGGCGATTTTCTAGGCAATTTTTATGAAATTGTTATCTGGGACACTGTTAGTAAAATTCTCCATTCCTTTTCTCACTAGATCCAGAGCTCCGGTTACTATTGATACAGTTTCCCACATCCTGTTAATTTCGAACGCCAGGTTATTGTATTTGTACAATTTCTGGAAAATTTTCATGAACGTGTTTCTCTCACGTGTTACGTCATGAATTTCTTGTCTTTTATGATAATATCGGGTCGGTCGGCTTTTATTTCCCTATCAGTTTGAACTGATATGTCCCAAAGGATAGTTACATTCTTATTTTGGTTAACTGTGCCTGGTTGGTGTTCATACAATCTCTCAGTGGTTTCGATTTTGTGCTTCTTGCATATCTCCCAGTGCATATATGTCGATAAATTGTTATGTCTGTGGGTATATTCATTTTTTTTTCTAGTTCCGGACATCCTGAGATAATATGGTTGACAGTTTCATCATATTTTCCGCAGATCCTGCATTTCGGGTTAGTTGAATCTTCTTATTATTGTACTTTGCCTTTGTTTCGTGTCGTACGAGTTTCCCCGAATTCTCAACTAGAGACTTCAAGAAGCCAGCAGAGTTTTTTTTTAATCAGATGCAAACCTCTATGTATCTATGTATGCCCCTCTGCGTGCGTTTGTGTGTGTGTGTGTGTGTGTGTGTGTGTGTGTGTGTGTGTGTGTGTGTGTGTGTGTGTGTTGGTATGCAGGGGGTGATTATCCCATATAAGATGAATTTATGAGGATCAGGTTACGGCAGGTGGTGACGTGAGTTTTTTGGTAACGAACCCCAGTTGATATGTAGGATTATTGTGCTCATCTTTATCGCCATATTATTACGTTGTACGCTACGGCCTTCTTCAGGGGGCTAGAATGTCGAACTGAACCCTTTATTTCACTCACTGGGAGAGACTGTTCTAGTTCCACGTCAGTTATCAGTTATCTCCTTTACAGGTTCTCTACTGCCTTATTGAACTCACACTCTTTGGGTCCTGTCACTGGTTCTAACTAACATCTTTATCCACTGTGCCATGTGTCCTTGAGGACATCTGTGTATGAATTTCTGGATATTATAAACCTAATTTCTTTTTATCAGTGCTCATACTGCAATTTTTGCTGTTATCATTGCATGTTTTTACCAGAGCTCATATGCATTATTTTTTTTTGTTATTATCGCTTTTCTCTGGCACTACTTATTACTGGTTCCCATATTGTATTCATTTCTATGCTTGGTCGGCTCAGGGGTTTTTGTGGCCTAGCATGTGTGCTGATTCCTTAAGTTTACGAATTTTCGAATGGTTTTCTTTGTCTATGAATTCAACCTGATCCCACAGAGAAATATAGACAGATACTCAAAAATTTAGATACAATGTCAATCGTTATCTTCTGTTTTCTTAAATACTCTCCTTTTATCGTTTTCTTATGTTTACAATGTTTTGTTTTCTCATATTCTCTAACACTCAGTAACCTCTTGGGTCTTATTGACTTCATAGCCTTTTTGGATGGGAAATTATTTTAAAAAACAGCCTGAAAGGGGGGGGGCTTCCTCAGACTATTTTAGAATGGATTAAGGTGGTTGTGATCGATAGTTTTCAATAGAAAATGAGTATAATTAACTGGTTCTTATGAGACGGAAATATTTGAGATCAAAATAAGAGAGACTGTTTTTGTCAAAACAATAGTTAAAATGTCTGGCTTAAGGCAAAATTGGCGATTCCATGTCGAACAATCAAACGTCATCTTCCGTCTTTTTCTTCTTTCCTTCACTTTCTTTACTTTTTTCTTCCTCTTCGTTCTATTATCAACAATTACTCTTTAAAATTCCTCTGTTTCTATCCACCTTCGTCTTCCCCGATTTCGGTTTATCAGCATACGATCTCCTTAACCCCCAAAGCTATTCTTTAACAATTCTCGAACCCTATTCTCTATCTTCGCGACTTGTTTTTGAAACCCTAATTTATTTTCACTTTCTCTTTAACTTTTACTTTCACTTTCCATACTTACTGTTATTCTCTTAACATATCTGCCCATGTCTTTCTCCCAGCCGCTCTACATTGTTTTGCAATAATTTGGCTTCTCCTCCTTCCCGTACACACTTTTTTATTTATTTTAAAAGTCGTAAGATATGTGACGTAATCTTTCGTGCTGAATGATCTAGAACACACACACCCGCCTACCTCCTAATCTGCACCCTTACAGGTACAATGGAAGTTAATCTGTGTTATCATCGTTTACGTAAATGACTTTTGTGTTTTCAATCTTTTGTATTTGACTGAGTAGATTCTTTCAAAAATGCTCTTGTCTTTGATTTGTCCATTTAATTCAAAGCCACCGTCAGGCATTCTTTATTCATTGATATAAGTTTTTTTATCATTATTCTTGTTAGAGTGATCATTGATTGAAAACAAAATGGCGAAAATCGCTAGTTGTTGTTCTGATCGTATTTTGATTTTTCAAGTTTGCTTATATCCCTTGGTACTTACATTGCACCAGGAAATTGACGAAGGGAAGTATGAGACAGAGCTTAAATTGAAAGATCTGGCAGCTAACAGATGCAAAACGATGTAAAAAACGGCGAAAAGAAGAGAGAAAGAAAAGAGACAAAGAGGAAAAGACCATGTAAAAGAAAAAGAAATAAAGAAGAGAGACAAGAAGGAGAAATAAAGAAGAGCAAGAAGAAAAAGAAGAAGAAGAAAAAGAAGAAGAAGAAGAAGAAGGAGAAAAAGAAGAAGAAGGAGAAAAAGAAGAAGAAATAAAGAAGAGAAAGAAGGAGAAGAAAAAACAAAAAGTGAGAAGGAGAAAAAGAAGAAAAAATAAAAGAAAGAAGAAGAAATAAAAAGAGAGAAGAAGAAATAAAAAAGAGAGAAGAAGAAGAAGAAAAAGAAATAAAAAGTGAGAAGAAGAAGAAATAAAAAAGTGAGAAGAAGAAGAAGAAGAAATAAGAAGGGCGAAGAAGAAGAGGAGGATAAGAAAAAGAAATAAAGAAGAAGAAATAAAAGTGAGAAGAAGAAATAAAAAGTGAGAAGAAGAAGAAGAAGAAATAAAAAAGAGAGAAGAAGAAAAAGAAATAAAAAAGTGAAGAAGAAGAAGAAGAAATAAAAAGTGAGAACAAGAAGAAATAAAAAAGAGAGAAGAAGAAGAAGAAGAAGAAGAAGAAGAAGAAAAAGAAATAAAAAGTGAGAAGAAGAAGATATAAAAAAGTGAGAAGAAGAAGAAGAAATAAGAAGAAAAACGAAGAAGAAGAAGAGGATAAAAAAAAAATAAAGAAGAAGAAATAAAAGTGAGAAGAAGAAGAAAAAAAAGTGAGAAGAAGAAGAAGAAGAGGAGGAGGATAAGAAAAAAAAATAAAGAAGAAGAAGAAGAAGAAGAAGAAGAAGAAGAAGAAGAAAAGAAATAAAAAGTGAGAAGAAGAAGATATAAAAAAGTGAGAAGAAGAAGAAGAAATAAGAAGGGCGAAGAAGAAGAAGAGGATAAGAAAAAGAAATAAAGAAGAAGAAATAAAAGTGAGAAGAAGAAGAAATAAAAAGTGAGAAGAAGAAGAAGAAGAGGAGGAGGATAAGAAAAAGAAATAAAGAAGAAGAAGAAGAAGAAGAAGAAGAAGAAGAAGAAGAAATAAAGGAGAAAAGAAAAGAAAGTAGAATAACATGAAAAAAGTAAAGAGAAATAAGAAGAAACAAAGAAAAGAAAGAAATTAGGGAATGAATTAAAATTAATGAAATAAATGTGAAGAAAAAATAAAAATTATGAGTAAAAAAGGAAGAAGGAAAATAAAAAGAATGAAAGATTAACAGAACAGGAAGAATGATTAATGCAAATACATAAAAATAATGAAAACAGAAAAAGACATAGAGAGTGAAAAGGAGAAGTTGATAATAAACTTCATAGAAAGAAAGAAAGGGAAAGAGAGGAAGAATTACTGAATCTTGAAAATAAAAAGAAAGAAAGAAAGAAGGGAAGAATAAAATAAAGAAAGAAGGAAGAAAAATAAATTAAAGACAGAAAAAGGAAAAATAAGCAAATAAATAAATTAAAGAAAGAAAGAAAGAATCACTGAATCTCGAAGACAAAGAAGAAAAGAAAGTAAAAGTTGGAGAATAAAAGAATAAAAGAAAGAAATTTTGCAAATGAAAATAACGAAATCGCGTTAGTGTGTTCGTCGAGTTAGTAAGAAATAGGAGGACAAAGATGGCCTGTCGATTTTCCGAATTTCTTTATTAGATAAATGACAACAGCAGTCAGGGTGGAATCACCCAGCACCATTATGGCCGACACTTCCGACACCAACTCCACTTCCGCTGTCTCTTCTTCCCTTCCACTTTCTTGCTACTGTCTCCGTCGTTCTTGCAACAGACTGTCACTTCAGCGAACTGGTTATCTGTCTCATGCCCCGTTGACTCCGTTCGGATATTGAGCGAGAAAATGAAGCTATGAAAAGTACTTTCCGTGTTAGTGAATGGCTAACAAGCAAGCGATACACCAGAACAGATCTGTCAGCCTTGTCATGGCGTCCATTCCCGCCATAGAAATGCTTTTGCTTTTAATACTTACACCTTAATCGGATCCTTTCAGCTACCACCCCAGCTCTTTGTATTTCAGGACGGACACATGAAGATGACAGAGAAAGAAAGATAAAAATTAGAAAAAAATAAAAAAAGATTAGAAAAGAGAGAGGAAAGAAGGATGTCGAAAGAAAAAAAAAATGACTGCAGATAAGTATTTGACTGCATGGGTTGGTTTAAGTAAATATTGCTGCCATATTTGGGTGAGTGCTGCCTAGTCCTCACTTGCCTATCATGATAGAGTTCAAATACGATTCCGCTGCCTTGTGGGTGATTAATTATTCCCCACACTACAATTCATTTCCCTCAGAAAAAAAAAACGTACCAAGCTTCTTGCTCATTTATCGTTATATCCACGGCAAATGTACTGACGGATTACATACATTAGTTTTATCAGTTCTAACCAAAGACATTTTTATGTTTATATGTTCTTTTTATAGATACAAATATTTGAGTAAATGCTCTGTGTATAATAAACAGTATTAATAACATTTACCTGCCTGAATGTCCGAGAAATTTTCCTAGAAAATATGCGATCTCCGACAGGAATCGAACCTGTATCCTATACGAAACCGTCATATAGCCTGACGTGCTTTTAGCGTCTGAGCCACAGAGTCGATATGACGGTTTCATATAGGATCCAAGTGCCATTTGGAAGATTGTATCTCTAACGTATTAAATAATATTTATGTTGGTCACACCACAAACTCGCTTTCACGGCGTTTGACTCTACATTTAAATGATAACTAACGTTTTTAGACATTTAAAACAACATGCCTGCCCGCGTACTCAATTTCCGGAAAATCCTTGATGACAACACGACTATACTTAAACATGAAAACAATAAAGAAAAATTAAAAATCTTTAAAGCTTTATACATAAAACAGTTGAAACCTAACCTGAACGAAATAAACTATGAAATCTCCACAAATATCCTTAAATGGCTATAATTTATAACAGAAGCCATTGGTTTATACCAACGGCTTCCTATACTTAATAGTTCTCGTTTTTCATTCTCGCGTGGTCATCGGTGACGTTCCGAGCTGCGCCGCGATTTTCGCTTCCGCGTCTCGTATATACGAGTTTGTAGTTACTTGAAATTTTCATGCAGCAAGGGCGGACTATCACTGTTGTTTCGTCCGTTGTTATTTGATTTATTGAAATTGTCATCTTTGATAATGGTATGTGTAAGCCGAAATCTTAGATTGGATTTAAACATGTATCAATATGGTGTTTTCCTTTCGTAGTTCAACGATAATGTGATTAAGCTTATCAGACAATGTGAAAGGAACTTACTTAAAATAAATAGACAAAACTTGTCTATATTATTTAATGAAACATGCATTAATGAAAAATTGCTGCCTAAATATACACAATATATATATATATATATATATATATATATATATATATATATATATATATATATATGAATCAATTTTGGGGGATTAGAATAATAACTGATTGAGTCTATAAAAACCCTGAATGCAATACAGAAAGCACTGGACAGCTGTTTCGTCTTATTTGGGACACATCACCAGTGCGAATCCAATACTGAGAATATAACGCAAAGGGTCATACCATTGCACCAACGGTTCTTGGTGACGAAAAAGAAACTCACTAGACTCGATATAGCGCCGCTACTCACAAATTCTGTGGTGATCAAAATATTCATAATCGAAGAGCCACAACTTTTCTTTCCTCTGAACCGCTCTATCGCACTCAAGCATAGGTATACAAGGGAATAAAATAATCATTGTCGTAGTTAATTGAGTCTAGAAGAATTCATCGAGACTAGAAGAATCTTGGACAGCTGTTTCATCCTATTTGGGACTCATCAGCAGTGAGCATCCACTATCTAGAATAGAAGCCGAACCGTTACGATACAACATAAGCGTCGTACCACTGGGCCGGCGGGCCTCGGTGACGAAGTGGATGCGCATTGCTGATGAGCCCCAAAAATGACGAAACGGCCGTACAGTGCTTTCTGCATTCTGCTAAGTTTTCTTTTTCTAGACTGAATGAACTATGTGAAATTAATTAAATTTCCAATATTTGTATATATCTATATGTATATATATATATATATATGTGTGTGTGTGTGTGTGTGTGTGTGTGTGTGTGTGTGTGTGTGTGTGTGTGTGTGTGTGTGTGTGTGTGTGTGTGTGTGCGTGTGTGTAAATCTACTGGAATTGGTTGATTTTGATGCAGACTTTATTCCGTAGTTGATTTTACATGAGGAAAATTCATAAATCCTTCCTATTCTTGCAATAGTAGAGTTTTTCTGGTTGATTTTGCTGCTTTTGTCAGACCTTTATTATTTTGTCCCCAGCGTGTTTTCTGTGCTGAAACATGAAATCTATTGTTTAGCGATTTTAACATGTTTCTGTTTTAATCTCATATATATATATATATATATATATATATATATATATATATATATATATATATATTAGATTCAAAGTGATAAAAGATGTTACTTTAACTTTTACAATATTAAAAGAGTACTATTGGTCAGATAAACAAACGGTTACAGTTTAAAACTTTATTTTTAATGTGTTCTCTATGAATGTGTTAATAAATACAGTATTTAACTCATATTAAATCCCTAAATTATTTGTAAAAAACTTAAATATTTAAATTGCTAGCAAACATCAAATTAATTTCTTCGTGGATTTTTTAGACATCAAACAGTAAAATCTTATTTTTTACGTAAATTGCTAAAACTTACCACCCCACCCATTTACAGCCTCTTTCTCTTTACTTCCCCTTTCTTTCTTTTTCCTTTTCCTTTCTCTTTTCTCCTCTTTCATTTCAATATATCACACCCGTTAAGTCAACCGTTTAAATAGGTCAAGGTCTGGTCACTCCTCCTCCCCCAATACTAAGTATGATTGAGAGAGATATTAAATTAAACCCTCTCTAAACTCTACCATGTCTCTCTAACCACTCCTTATTACAATCTCTGTTAAATTACAAAAACTTACACTACCAATCAATTTTCGTTTCATATTTTGGAAGTGCTATCTCATGATCCGGCGTCCTTTAAAAGGGCTCTGGTGAAATAAATTATTATAATGGAACATTAAAGTGGTCTGTTTTTCTTTTTTTAATAAAAATATTGCATTGGTGCATAATTATCAGGCGTTTTTTAGGCGAGTTATTTGTTAATAAAAATTGCTGTTTTGTTTACTGTTTAAATAAAAATATTATTTTATTTTCATGTTATAAAAATGTGTGTCGATAATCATAGGCTCTGGAATAATCATTTAAAAATGTTATCGTTGAATTGTTGTTTCTTTTTTCATAATAAATATTGTTTAAAAAAACGCCTGATAATTATGCACCAACCCAATACATTTATGATTACAATATAAAAAAACTAAAGCCTATTCTATGCTCTGTTAAACCAAAACGACTTTGTTTACATTAATTTTAATTCAGGATGTACGCTGTCACGACTCGCCACAAATTCGTTTAATATTTGTGAATAAATATGTATATTCTTGCGAGCGTTGATAATTTTATTTGGTTTCTCTGTTATTTTTTGACACTTTCAATTTGATATGTTTAATCCCTCTGTTATGGTGCATCTTCATTCAGCTTGCTCACCATATTCGAAGAAAAGAAATTTAGCATGACTCCTTTCCAAGTTCTCCACTGCCTTAACTCACACCTTTTGGGTCCTGTAAATGGATCTAACTAATGCTGTACCATGTGTCCTCAAGGAATACCCGCTTAAGGCAGTAGAGAACTTTCAGAGGGAAATTAACAGGAGATAACTGATAACTGACATCCATTAGACATGGCACGTGGAAATAAAGGGTTCAGTTCGACATTCCAACAACCTGAAGAAGGCCGGAGCGTACAACGGCCGAAACGTTGTAATAAACATGGCGACAATGATGAGGACAATAATCCGAATAATGTAAATAATGTACATAATACCTCATCTCAGAAATAGACAGATACCCATTGTGTGAGTTGTTTTGATTCGTTTTGTATGACTTACTAACCATATACAGGTTATTTAAAGTCAGAATATATTTCAGATTGTAAGGACGACTTTTATTTTTGTGATAATAAG